ATAAACTGAATTTCGTTAATTTGCAGGTTTGTCAGAATCTGAATGCACGTGTCTAATGGAAACCATGGCTTCTATAGAGTAGGGCTTGGGATCAAACGAGAACACCATATCCATACAGGTTATGTTAAGGAAGGACTCCAGGAACACGTGCTACAAAATGTAGTTCTTCAGAAATTAAAAAAAGTTTCAATTTTTTTTCACTTGATGGACGCTTCCAATCTCATTAGCAGTGCATAGAAGTTAAGACAGACCTGCTCGGGTGTCTTTCACATAAAACAAAAAGGGATGTGTAAACATCCTACATCTGCGGTCATAAATGCCGGTTTAAGAGCCTATAGACCTCTTAATGATTAGCATGACAAACACACCATCTTATGCCAAGGCTGTTTGCCGGGAGCAGCCCTATAAGCTGTACATATATGGCTGTCTAGGATGAATCCGCAGTGACTTCACCAGGCAGGTATGCAAGCAAAGAGTCCCTGCCTATTGGGTGAGGCTTGAGAAAATGGCACATGGCATTCATTGTCCCTGTGCAGCTCAATCCGGTTACAGATGACTTTTCCCTCTTGGGCCTGTTGCGCAATAGAGAAATGTTTTGATGCAGTCATGGCTGGAGGTTTGCATTGCTGTCTTTGAAGTCAGAGCTGGGATTATCCTGATTTACTAGTAAATCGAATTTGTGTTTTTTCACAGCTTGTCAGGGTTGAGTCTTCTGTATGTCTGTCTGCAGCCGGAGTAGTGACTGCACCTATATGAGCCGGTTCACAAAATGTCCCTATAGCACACCCTTTTCTGTCAGAACTCTATCAATATAGAAGTCAGTGGTTGCGATACTTATACAGTAATCCACTCAATTTTGAGGGGAATCCTTAATGGGGTATGTATAGCCCTTTATTTTTATTTTGTGTGTACTGCAAAGTAGAGCTGCAGCTAACGATTATTTTCAAAATCGATTAGTTAGCCGATTATTAAGTTCGATTAATCGGATAAACAATCAAATACATTTTTAAAAATGGCTCCAGTGATGGACTACTAGTTTGTATTGAAAGGAGCAAGCTTGGAGCGGTGGAAGTAAAAAAGAAAAGTGTGGTGTGCAATATAGTGAAATGGAAAGTGTAAAATTATACAGCAATCAATGCAGAATGGCACCGGCTATAGAGGACTACAAATCCCAGCAATAGTACAATATACAGCGCAATGCAGAATATCACCAGCTATAGAGGAGCACAACAAATCCCAGCAATAGTACATTATAGCTGGTGGTATTCTGCATTGCGCTGTATAATGTACTGTTGCTGGGTTTTGTAGTCCTCTATAGCCAGTGGTATTCGGCAGTGCACCACTGTATAATGTATTATTGCTGGGATTTGTAGTGCTCCTCTATAGCTGGTGGAATTCCACATGGCGCTGTATAATGTATTATTGCTGGGATTTGTAGTCCTCTATACAGCGCAGTGCAGAATATCACCAACTATAGAGTACAACAAATCCCAGCAATAGTACATTATACATACAGTATATAATGTATTGCTGGGATTTGTATTCCCATGTATAATATACAGCACAGTGTACCATCAGCTATAGAGGAATAAAAATCCCAGCAATACATTATAGAGCACCACGTGTGGGAAAGTGCAGGCTTATACCTGAGCAGTCTTCCAGCAACTTGCTTCTGAGATCGGGCCTGTCAATCTGCCGCTGTCATCCCCCCACACCTGCTCCTTACTACATCTCCCCGCGTCCCTGTGCCGATGGAGAATGTGGGCGGGCGGTGAGTGTGAGGCGGGAAGGAGGTGCGGCGTGTAAAGCGTGGATGCGGGTCTGGCAGCGTTGAGCGTGAGTTGGGGAGGAGGTGGGGCGCGCAGCGTGTGTGGAGCCGTGAACAGGGCCAACTGATCAGAAGCCGATTAATCGATTATTGAAAAAGTTGACCACTTTTTCAATAATCGATTATAATCTATTATGTCGATTAGTTGTTGCAGCCCTACTGCAAAGGTAGTTTGTGTAATTCCCAGAGTGCAGCTTTAACATACCATATGTACACATTATGCTGACAAAGATTAATGCTTGTCAAGTCCAGGAGGTAGAGGAAGAAGGCATAATACTTAAAACGCACCTCTTCTCACTGGTGTTCCAGGTTGTGAGCGCACCCTCATTGTCCTCGCATACAATGCATGGACTGCCGGGCCAGAGTGCCTTAGGAGGTTACGGGGGGGGGGTCATACTGATGGAGGCAGCCTGCCGAGCAAGGGATAAGGGAAGCATCGCACCATACTACTTTTATCCCTAAACTGTAGTGCATGGACAAGGCTGTAAAAACGTTGACATTTCAGTACAGTTGTGAGCAATGGTGTATTAGGGTTTTGTGCTGCCCTAGGCAAGACTAAACTCTGGGACCCCCTAATCTAAATTTGCCCCACCCCTTCCTGGTTAAGACAGCAATATCCAGCTTCTGACAGGTTGCGCTATTAGCGTAGCAGGGAAGGCAAACTCTCAGGTGCCCTCTACAGGGTCTGTGGTGGGCTCTGCGGGGTTTCAGGTGGGCTGTGATGGATCTATGGTGGGCTCTACAGGGTTTCGACCCTGCAGAGCCTTCCATAGAACCTGCACAGTCCTCTTGTGGGCTGTGCAGGATCTATAGTGGGCTCTGCAGTGTCCCTTTCCCTGCGCACATGTGCTGCGTCTGTTACCTGCAGTTCCCCAGCCTGCCTCTGGGACATCCCATTGTCAGATCGTGGGGTATGGTCAACCCCGAGCCGCATGCAGCTTCTCTTCCACCTCTGCCAGCTAGGCCGCTTCTCATTGGGCCCTGACCCACCTCCTCCACCGATCATCTCAGGCAAATTAGGGGGCCGTGAGGCCCAACAACCAGCCGCTCAAGTTGCCTGATTAGGCAGTCGGGGCTGCCTGATTCTGCTCGGCCCAGCTTGCCTCACTGTTTGTTTGACGCCCCCGCCCATACACTTTAACAATATTTGGTAAAATTGTTTGCATGATCCTTATGTCTTACGTAAATGGAAAAGAAAATACATTCCTGAAAAGTCTAATTTGTTGCATGTTTTGCCCCAGCTGTGCCTGTATGGAGCCACAGAGTGTCTGACATTAAAAGCTTGGTGTGTGTGTGTGTGTGTGTGTGTGTGTGTGTGTGAATAATCATCTGGAACCTTGTTTCAAGTAATTTGAAACAGAGGAGAGAAGTATGCGTGGAATGTTCCAGGGTGAACACACCCCTAGGACACATGGCTGATCTGCGATATCGCAGTGCAAAAACTCAGCACACATCACAATTCTTACTGATTTGGATGGACAGTGAATCCTTTCAAACCCAATCCTTTAGCCTGCCTTTTAAATCGCCCCAATATAAATGTACAATTACAAATGGAAGCCTTATGATATTTCATTTATAAGTTTTTTTTTTTTTGTCTGTACCCCTAATCCATGTGCCATACCATTTACATGTGGACTGTGCGGTCCGCATTCATGATAGCTCACAAATTCTAGATCGGTCACAATATGTTTAGCGTTTCTAAAGGGCTTTATTTATTTTTTGCCACTGCTGGGTTTTTACTGCTGCTTCCTTGCGCCCCCCTAGAGAGATTCTTCTGCTTGTCCTTGTGACTGTTGGCATCGGGACTGAGTGAGAAGATCCACATTTTTTAAAATAACCGTAATGGAAGGGAATTCTCTCCCAAGTGTAGACATACAGAAAGGGGCACAAAACCAGTGGACTCCAAAAATGGATTTAATCCTTCACAATTCTACTGCATGAAACATTGCCAACACGTTTCGGGGGAAACGCTCGCCCTTCAACAGGGCTTGAAACAATAAATTGGAAGACTTTTTTGTTAGGACTCTTGAGAACTATCAACAGAGGCATCTATGCATGATCTAATTTGAAAGTGTGTGTGTTTTCAGTGATCGCTCTCCTAGTGGAGGGGGGCGTTCCCTTCCTTTGAAGAGTGTCTCCCACGTCCTGTTGTGTCCTGACACGGAGTGCAAGAAAATCTCCCCAATGGACACAGATGGGAGGGAAAAAACAATATGGATTTTCACTTTTGACGTCTCATTTGAGAAAACCCCTCCGTTTGTGTTCTTATTCACACAGCATGCCGAAAAATGATTAAAAAGGTAGAGGAGAACTATGGGGTTAGGGCTTTTCCATAGTTCTCCTAAGGGTCACAGGAGAACACTAACTAGGGTTCTCCCATGACCCAAAGCTCTGTATACCGCGAGCTACAGCTCGCGGTATACTGCCACGCCGGGACGGATCCCGACAATACTGTCTGGATCCACCCAGCTGCGGGATTGACAGCTAGCTCTACCTATCCAGAGGCAGCCCTGCCTGCCCCCTTCCCCGTCTGTTTCACCAGTCAGCGCTGGAGGATCGGGACGAGGGGGGGAATCCCTGCAGGGATAGATAGAGAAGTGAGTGACGCTGTGTGTTCGCTCACTTCCCGATCTACTGAGCCGACCTGTGACAGTTTCATTGTCGCAGGTCGGCTCATATGAGGCTGAGTGAAAATCACTGGCCTCATAATTCTCTAACTTTTTTTTAGATGTTTTGTTGCAGCAGACAACATGGCAGATTCCAGGTTTTTCTCACCACCTTCACAAATTTGAGGATTGTGTTTTTTTTTTTTTTTTTTTCATTAACATACAATTTAAGAAGCCAGCGTTGGTAATCATTTAACCCCTCACAGCCCCTCACATTACAAAGAAGCAAGTAGAAATTTGAACCCTAAAGAAGCCCTAATCCAAGTAAAGCGATTTGAACTGCAAAAAGCATTTTTTTAAATACATCTTTTTTCCTCAATGTGAACCTGTAACAAAAATATAAAATAGGTGTTATCCCAGTTTGGCTGCAGTGGAAATACACTTTAACCATTTCCTGCTTTATCCAAAACGGAAAAGTAAATTTCAGAATTACTAACAATGTTTGTATGAGTAGAAACATTGTTTTGATGTACTGGAGTGGTAATTGGTATATTTTCTCTTTTCAGGTTCTCCTTATTATGACAATGTCCGCCCTCTCTCATACCCTGACTCTGATGCAGTCTTGATATGTTTTGACATCAGCCGTCCTGAAACACTGGATAGTGTGCTTAAAAAGGTAACTTCCTCTTTCTCGTACATCCGAGCTGTCCATACAGCCCCTTAGTTTGCAAGTCAAAATTGTACCTTGCTTTTGATTTTCATCTCACTCGGCACGGTTTTGTGCTGAGCTCAACTCGTATTCAAATGAAGTTGGGAGTCAAGAAAACCTCAATGCATGCAGAACCTGTGAACTAAACTCTGCCTTACATTTTAATGGCAGAACTAATGAAATTAAGCACAATTACTAAAGGCCAACCAGGTTCTAAGTTTTTACTACATTACATTAGTTCCCTTTTTTTTAAAAACAAACGTACAGAATGCAGTTTTTGCTGCACTACTTACACATTGACGCCCAGCCTCATTCAACCCAGAAGTCGGCACACAGGAAGGCATGGTTCGCAAAGTGTAGCCATCAGTCTGTACTGGCTATAAATACACCTGATTGAAAGGTGGGAGGAGATCAGAGGTCCTGTAAGCACCACTTGGAAGAGGAGTTTGAGGTGAATAGAACTGAAGTGTGTGAATACAAAGAAAAACAGGGATCAGAAGAGAAAGGCATTTTGGCATGTTTAAGTGACTACTGGCTCATTTTTTTTCCCCCATGGTCCCTGTGTGTATTGTCAAGTAGCCACCGCTCCAAGCTCACTCCCGGGATGGACTACAATCATGTTTAGTTTACTAATTTGTATTGAGTTTGTATTGAGGTTGTAGTACATAACAGGAGTGAGCTTGGAGCGGTGGCTACTTTTACAACACCAATTCAGAGATGATTGGAGGATCTACAGCCGAGTGATACACAAATAAGATACATTTCTTTTACTAGTTAAGGTACTTAAATGCTTTAAGATTTTACTTCTGAGTTTAGCGTCACTTTAAAACCACAGATTCCATGAAACTTTTTTACGTTATTTTTGTGACATTGCATTGAGGTGATTTCCTGTGGTTTGTTTTGATGTAAATCTTTCTTGGAGGGTTTCTTCTTAAAATTGTCCCACTGGCTCTTGTATCAGACAGGCTCTTGGATTTTACAAAAATGTATGCGCTCAGACCTAAAACATGCAGACCTTCAACATTGGGCTTGAGGTGTTATAAACAAGAGATGGCAGTGCGATATGTTCTAATGTAAATAAGCTGACAGTCCTACTGCTGTACTTGGATCTGCTAATTGTGATGGCCACCGCCCCAACTTCAGAAACTAGACTGGGACAACTTTAGAAAGGGGCCAGTGGTCGGGTTTTCAATTTAGGAGCGGAAGGCTTAAAATAGTAATGGGAATTGACCTGGACACGGCATTTCTGGCAAGAGCAACCGGTATTTTCTGTACTTGCTAAAAATGTTCTTAGCCTGAAGTGAAAACTAATGCCACCGCCACCACATCTAAAGACTAATGAGCTGCAATTAATTACATTTTTTGGGGGGGTTTAGTGTGTCGTGTGAAAAGATACTTGGAACTGCTTTTTAGTACTTTCTCGGTCCCCGGCAGTGATTTCCTCTACCAGTGACACCCATCACAGCGTTACAAACCTGTCAGTAGTTCTTAGTTTTCCCTGCTCTGTCTGACACGTGTTTGCCTGGAGTAGGACAATCCATTCCTGTTCTTTCATGTCGTGTTCTTTTTTTTTTTATCCAAGATGAGTTGTACTTATCACAGAACATTCTTTTGCAGTGGAAAGGTGAAATTCAGGAGTTCTGCCCCAATACAAAAATGCTGCTGGTTGGCTGCAAGTCTGATTTACGAACGGACCTCACAACTCTAGTGGAACTGTCCAATCACAGGCAGACACCGGTGTCTTATGATCAGGTATGTGAGCCAAGAATTTTACAGCCTCCACAACTATGTAAACAGCTGGTGAAATGTTTGAGGTCAGTTGACGCCAGTACTGCTTCCTGCGCATCGTTTATAATCGGTAAATTACATGAACATTCTTTAGCAAACACTCTAAAGGTGGCCATACACTCTACAACCATCGCAAGACTTCAGTCTTGCGATGGCTGTAAAGGGATTAAAAAAACGTACGATCTGCCTATCTTGGACAGGCAGATCGCACTCTCGATCATCGCAAGCCCGCCCCCCTGAGGGGCGGGCTTCCGATGACCGCAATGCTGAACGGGCAGTGTGTGCATGCGCACACCGGCCCGTTCAGCATTTATCTTCCGAGCACCGTTCTAACCAGCCGAGAATCGTACGATTCCCGGCTGGTTTTCGAACATGCTGGTTCGACAGAAGACGTGCGACCGTACAGTAGAAACGGTCGCACGTCTCCATTCACACTGCTCGATTATCGTACGAAAACCCGATCGCATACGATTATCGTACGATAATTGTGCAGTGTATGGGCACCTTAACAGGGATTTGTGTTAACACATTCATATTGGTGAAGGCCTGTAAGCAATCTTACTACCTGTGTAGAGGTTCTAGGGCAATTCATGTAATTGCTGTTCATTTAGTTCTGTTGACAGAGACCTGTGCCAAATACAGATGGGGCTTGCTGGTCATGTAGAAAATGATGGAGGGACTGAGGAAATGATGTGGGATGACACTCAAGGCATAGCTCTAACTAATGGGAGACTCGAGGGCAATGGTAAAAGCAGAGGTAAATTGGGAACCATACTTGTATGCAGCTTATCTGTGAAGTACATGCACATAAATGGAGTAGCAATAATAAAATGGGGCTGTTTGTCCACCAGTCTGTCCCCCTTATTAAGCAATTAAGTCTGGCTCTAACTTGCCTCTGGACCCCTAGTGGCTACACCCCATTTTGGTAGTTCTGACACTGTCTACCAGGATGTAGGCTATGAACATATAGCTTATTTCTCCATGCCAGCAGTGGGAAACTGGCTGGAAGATTTGATGCCAAAGAATACACATGGTGCTCATTCCCTCTACATACTCTATTGGTATAAAATAAACATATCTAAATCCTTCATCTGTGGGTACCTTTTGGGATCACTTTTCTGTGTTCCCAGCAGATAGCTAATAGTTAATGCAATGTGAAGAAATTACAGGTCTGTATGCGCTGCTTAAGATTCGTCACATTGCTAATCTAAATCCACCAATATTTCACGGAAATCTAGATTACGATCACAGGCTTTTGTAGTTTTATCTAGATGTTTGCCCTCTGCAATTATCATTTAGTTGTTGTGTTCAATGTTCAGCGTGAGCAAGTGAAGTGACTCAGGAGCTGCTTCTCAGCTCATGTTATGCAACGTGTGTGTTTATATCATTACCTTGCATAACTTAGAATAATGCTATACAGTTTAACTCTAGCTGCTTGCTGTCTGCATACAATGGAACTTCAGGCAAATGGTTAATTTAAATATTAATAAAAAAGCTTTTAGTGAAATTGTCCTTTTTAAAAGAACCTGAACATCTACCTCCTATTTGTAGCATTTATAATTGGGTCAGATGTGGACTTTAATGCGATCCTGTCTTTGTTCCTTGAAGGAGTCAAGGAACAAGAGTCTCTTGAAATCCCTGTGGCACACAAAACGGACCTGCATTAAAGACTAGTCCAATTAATGAGAGCGGTCTCCCTGAACATGCTAGTTGCCTGTTTGTTACACTGACCACCCAGTGTCAATATTTTAAGTCCCTAACCTGAAACAAGAATAAATTTCCTGAAAGTATAAGAAGTCTTCTCTGAAAGCTTGGTCTTCATGTTCTCTTTTGACATGTTTCCTTTGCTCAAGCTGTAGAGGAACTTCTTCGTCTGATACTTATAATATGTGCCCCTGTTGTCCCCTTTTTTTTTTTTGTGCTTTTAATCATTGGCCTTTTTCCCCCCTAGGGTGCTAATATGGCCAAGCAAATCGGAGCAGCCACTTACATCGAATGCTCAGCTTTACAGTCTGAAAACAGTGTGAGGGACATTTTCCACGTAGCCACGCTGGCATGCGTCAACAAGTCTAACAAAAATCTCAAACGGAATAAAACCCAGAGAACCACAAAAAGAATTTCCCACATGCCTAGCAGACCAGAGCTGACTGCAGTGGCCACAGACTTAAGAAAGGACAAAGCCAAAAGCTGCAGCATAATGTGAGACGTCTTGGGTGGCGGTGAAGTTCCTATGAAGATTTAGTGAAGGATCAATGAAGGTAGCTGTCAGAGGATTTTAAAACTGGGTAAAGCAGAGTTGATAAGGATTTTCTTCACCTCTGGTACTCAAGGGATGCAGCATTTTGATGGAGCGGAGAGCAAAAGTTGGGTTGTTTCCACAGATGCTTTTTGGAGGGAAGCTACACCAAACTAAACCCCCAGAAGTGATTGGTATGTGTAGATGGATGGTGAAAATGCTATCTTCATCTCTCGAAAATGATCGATCTCAAGATTCACCTATTTCTCTTTACGTTCTTTGGCCAAAATAGAGTACCATGCTTACTCAACACTGACTCTAGTGATGCTGTTTGCACTCTGGAATGTGATCCTTTTGATTGACTCTTCTGAACACGAGGTGAGGCCATGATGGTCAGTTGGGATCTTCTACAGAAGAAGGAATTTTTGGAAAGTACCTCTAGGCTTTCCCATTTGTATAGTGTTCTTGCACAGCTGCATAGGCTAGATAGTTCATGGTACCTTTTTTTTTTTTGATCTAGCTTTTTAATGTGTTTTATTTTTAAGATATGGTTAGCTGTTCTTTAAACTGGGAATGAACCAGCGATTGCAATGTGATAGGCAGTCAGTTCATTCTATGACCGTTAAAACTGAAAGGTGCTGGACACATGTAGCTGTCAGTAACCCTACCCAAGTATCACATTCAGGATGGTCTCTGAAAAAAGAACAGTCCTTTTCAAAGTCCAACTCCAACCAAAATGTTGACTAGAGTGGGCAGGAGTTGCAACTATTCTCTACCTTCCCCAAAGTAGAGAACAACGTTTGGGCTGGAGTTTGATCTTGTCTGCATTGCAAGTACTTCAAGTTATTGGTCAAAACCGTCCTCACCTAAGTTCACATCGCTTTTTTTTATTTTTTTGAGAACCTTAATTTCTTGCCAGCCATAATGTGACAGTTCTGCTTAAAAAGGGTAGAAGAGGACCTATCATTTTATTAGTCATCCTGCAGAGGAGGAAGAAAGGGAAGGATAGCCAAAATCCTGTTTACTCCTATTCTTTTTCTTGTTTTTTATGAAGGTTTTAGTGTATGATTTAGCCCTTATTAGGAGGTTACGCTATGGGTGTACCACTGACACAAATTGCTCATAGCACGCCTTCCCTTTGTCTTATCTCAATGTCTTATTTATATAAAGCAGGATAAATGAACCAGCATACCTAAGTGAATGGTCTTCACTTTTTTTTTATTGTCCCTGTATTTTTTTTTTTGTATAGGATTAGTTGACAGAAATGTAACTGCAGAAAATCACTCCACCACATATTTTTTAAATATCATTTTTAGATATTATTCTGATCCTGTTGCATAATTATATAATGTCCAAGTGACCTTCTGGGATTGAAATGTGGGTGTAGACTTGGGAACATGCCAAAGGTGCATTATCCAGGGCTGTTACCCTTGCTTTATTGCTTACTGTACCTGACCGGCAATGTGCATCTGATAATGTAAACACTTACTCCAGCATAGTAGAGCCTCATTCACATGATTGGCCAAGGGGTGGTAAAAACAGGCGGCCAATCTGAGGTTTTATTGCTCCTTGGCCCGTTGACAAGTTAGCACTGCAGCCGGTTCGTGCTATGTACGCATCGCCATGATTTGCACGACATTGTCGCCTGCCAGACACCACCATTGATGTAAATAGGACCACACAACCACATGCACTTTTGGTAAAGTCTGCCACTTGGGTGAATGAGGCCTAATGGATGTGGTTGTATTTGCCTCTTTAAAATCAAGGCCACAATGGCAGCTGCCATAGTTCAGTTCTATAGGGTCACTTTTAAAGCCTGATATACACCAGTATTACATGACATATAAATACACTAGAACCTTCATATTGCACTTTTGAACTGTCCCCTTTTAAACCTAACACACGCCAGCTTTATATGGCATAAAAGACACTAGAACGTTCATAATGCAAAAGATTTGAGTTTTTACCCTTTCTTTTCCTCATTATGTTTACCACAAAGCCACAGTTTGATGGCTCCCCTTTTCTTTTTTTATGTAGTTGAAAATATGGCGGCATGAACATTTTCTTTTTCTTAGCAGTTGCTGGGAGGTCTGGTCATATAAACAGGAAAACTCAGCTAGTACATATCTTGCCGACTCTTGCTTGTTGAATGCAAGCATTCTCTCCATTAATGGCTTCGTTATTTGAAGCGCAAGTCTGTTATGACAGTTAAACCCTGTGTTTCATGTGTAGACAAGCACTGTGTCATATCCGTAGAAGAGCATTAGACGGTCTCAGGCATTCCAGTTGTCTTTCCAACATAGTGGGCAGGACGTGAGTGTCGAAAAGCTGCGGCCAATCCCACGTCCTCCACCATCCGTTCTGATATTAACCACGGCAGTACTCTTTCCATAACACAGCTACATGCTTTGGGCAGTATTACAACAACCTAGCTAGCAAGTGCTTACTTTATATTTAAATATTGTAACAAAGCAAAATATTGTAACAAAGCAAATAAATTATACATGTCTGACAGCTGGGCAACATAACTTTTCAATGTCTGTTCACCTTGTATGTTTGATTTGTAAATGTTTCTGCAATATTTATTTCGTTTTTTTCCCTTTTTGAATAATAAAGGCTTCAATGTTTTGTCTCCTTCTTGAAATATTTATTCAGCATCCATGCCATGAATGGGTATAAGGGGGGTGTTTTTTATACACAAAACTAGTGAAATAAGTTTAAAAGCTGGACTCTAGGTAGCTATAAAAGACACAAATTTTATGTAGCTCTGAATTATTACAACAGTTGAAAGGGGGGGAGGGGGGAATAGGGGGTAGAGAGATGTATCAAAACTGGAGCAGGCAGAATCTGAAGCCGTTGCCCATGATAACCAATCGGCATCTCTCCAGTTCAGTTAAACTTTGACAATGAGAGAAGCTGATTGGTTACTTTGCACAACTGCTTAAAATTTCGTCTGCTCCACTTTTGATTTTCCTCATTGGGGGAATTCCTAAACTGGAGCAAATTGTATCAGCTTCTCTCCAGTTGGTTCAGCTAAGCTTTGAAAATAAGCTGATTGCTATGGGTAACTGCTCCCAGATTTAGTCTGCTCCTGCAAGCCTCTTGCAATATACTATACAACAGAGCTCAGATTGGGAGAGGAAGAAGCACCACAAGGAATCAGGTGTGCCCATGTGGTAACAAAGAACAAGCTGATGGGAGAGAGCAGAATGACTCATTGGTCTGCTGATTCTCCTTGCACTGCCCAGTAATAGGCTGGGGTTGGGACAAGATCTGGACATATCAATTTACCTGCATCAGAGAAAAATCTGGTCTCCTACCCTGGCACATGGGATGATGGGGACATTAAAGTGGATGCAAAGTTTTGTTTTTTTTTGGCTAGCGTGGTAAGTGTTTGATTTCCCCTGTTGGCTGTTTACTGCTGTCTGTATTCCTGCTGGGGAGCTTTTCTGTCTTTGTCCCCGTGATCGTTGTCTGGAAGACATATAACATCTTGAGGGACGCTTTTTTTTTTTTCTCCCCAGCCCAGTAACTATGATAAAATGATTTCCTTTCCTTTGGAAAGATCTCCTCTGTTGTGTTTTGGATCTAGAGCCTTAAAGTAGAGAAAATCCACTTCAAATGGGCACTGCAAGAAATAAGATTTTTTGATTTTTAAACTATCTCCCACTCCACGGGTTGTAAACGTACTTGATAAAGGGGCCTCAAGTGTGGCCCCTGACATCTCCAAAGGGCCACACAATGTTATGCTACAGAAAGTGCTTCGGAGACTGCACAGATGCAACAGGAAATGGTCAAACTACAAGAGATGCTCAGACCATGGGTATACTAAAAGATGCTCAGACTATGAACATACTACAAGTGATGGTCAGAGAATACAGGCATACTGCAAGCAGGGCTGGTGCTGCCACTAGGCAGCTGTCTAGGGTGCAGCCTCGACTAAAAAAAAAGCAGGCACCTGCCCGCTGAGACAACTTTGCCTCAAGTCTGCGCCTCTGCTCTGGGTATGGTTTCAATAGCCAGTCTGCTATTGGCTATTTCAAATGGCCCATAGCAGTCTAGCTATTGCTACCGACTGCTTCCATCTGTCGCCTGTGGAAGCTAGCTGGCAGTCGAATGGAGCCATTCAGGGGGGTTTGGGGGTTGTGCTGCAGGAGTGGGGCTAAGGGTACAGGTAGCTGGTCTTGCCTAGGGTCCAAAATAGCCTAGCACTAGCCCTGACTGCAAGAGCTGCTCAGACTATGGGCATGGTACAAGAGATGCTCTGAGACTATGAACATAGTACTCTACAAGATATGGTCAGAGAATACAGGCATACTGCAAGAGCTGCTCAGAGACTGCGGGCATGCTACAAGAGATGGCCTGAGACTGCATAATGCTATAGGAGTTGTTTGAAACTAGGCACCCACCTTGGAAGATGGTCATAAAGCACTGATGCATTGCATGAGAGTATTACGGTCCTTGCTTTCACACTTGTGCTCCCTACATTCCCCTTTAAAAAAAATCACTTTGACCACATCTGATATAAAAGATCTAGAAAAGGTGTGGACAACACAGAACAATGGCATGAAAGAAAATAAATAAATCAATACATTGAACTACTAGAAGCCAGTCTAAAGAATGTTTTCCTTCACCGGCTCAAGTAATCACCAAAACCACCCCAGGACCGCACAGTAAATGTCAATGGACCCCCAATAAGCAGGTTGGCACCAGGGCCCCACTTTATCCATAACAAAAACAATTCTACAAAATAGTTTTGGCTTTAGCAGCACTTAAGCGAGTTTATGGAGATGTAAGGAAGCCTTGCCCCTTCAACAAAACCGTGACTGGGTTACGGACATTGAATAAACAAGACTTTCCTGCTGAGCAGCACATCTCACAAAGACCAAAGTCAGTGTGGAGGAAGCGGACTGAATATTCATGCTGCATGCACTTCACCGAACAAATCCTCTCCTTGCAGTCATTGTGCCGGGATGATGTCATGTTCCATCCCGTCGTCGCTGGCACGTGGAGGAAGTGTGATGTCATTGTAACTATATTGGGAGCCATCTCCAGTCTGTTTTACATTGATGAAGGAATCTTGTTTAGGAAGGAAAGCGAGAAGCAGAGAATATTCTGACGTGAAGTATTGGCAGCAGCGGGGTATGTTCCAGTCGGTGGAGCTACGATACAAAAAACAGTTTGATTAGTGTAGATGTTAAAGCATAGATGGACAGATTCCAAGATTCAGGTAGCAGATGCTTTCTGAAGCCTCGGCGTTGATGGTGTCCCCGGGCTCCTTAAAAGGAAGCAACAGATTCAGAATAAATCATGTGACTGCTACACAAGACAATTGTATTCTAAAGCCCAACTCTGGGCCTATGTTAGAATTACATATACAGTTGGGTACACCACCCTCATCCCTCTATTGTATGGGTTAAATCAGAGGTGGGCAACAAAGCCCTTCCAGCTGTTGTGGAACTACAAGCCCCATGTGGCATTGCAAGACTGACAGTTAAAGGCATGACTCCCAGAAGCAGAGGTATGTTGGGATATGTAGTTAATGAAGAACTCTGGGCAAAACTTTATTAACCCTTCCAGTGGGGCTACCCCTGAACTGCAAGGGTTAACTCGTTTGCTCGTTTTGTC